AAAGTTTTTTCAGGCATCTCAAGACTTGGAATACCAGTAACCATATTTTGAGTAATCAGTTGATTAAGTGGTCGAAAGATCAAATGCCCAAACTTCAAATGCCACAACCAACTATCCTTGTGGTCGAACAGTTTTCAAACATTGACCTTCTGTCAAATTGATCATTGTCTTAAATGTCCTGTTTTTTGATAACGGGGATTTTAATACCAAATTGTTTTTGGTGTCGAAAAATCTCAAAACTCCATCTTTCTTGACAACTGAGAAACTTCATAGTGTCGAAACTATGTGTGTCGAAGGGTTTAGAGGTGGATCGAAGCAGGTGGCTCGAAGGAAGCCATTTCCCAGTCGAAGCTTGTGGATTGAAGCAAGCATGGAGATAGAAAACATATCAGCTATCAATCTGGCGAAGAACCCAATAGTACATGGTCGAAGCAAGCACATCGAAATGAGGTTCCATTATCTCCGAGAGCAGGTAGCAGATGGGAAGATGAATTTGGAACACTGCAGAATTGAGAATCAGATTGCAGACATCATGACGAAGGGAGTGCATGTCGAAGTATTCATAAGACTAAGAACCATGATGAATAATGAATTAGGTGGTGTGTTGAATTGTAATTCATAGTGTCGAAACTATGTGTGTCGAAGAGTTTAGTATGTGCGTTGAAGGGTTTAGAGATGGATAGAAGGAGGTTGATCGAAGGAAACCACTGTTCAGTCTAAGCTTGGGGATTGAAGCAAGCTTGCTCTTCTTTGACTTGTCAAAATCTTCCCACCATTCTTTTTCGATCAGTCATGTGGTTTGAACAACCTAAACCAGATTTTGAATTCGACATGGTTATCTGCAGCTACACAACTTTTTTATCTACTTTTCCCTTTCGACAATTTCCTCTTCCTCCTTTCAAGAATTTAGAAGTTCCATCTTCGACCTGATACTTGAGAGCCCAATATGTTCCATGGAAACTATATGAGGCATTAAAAGTCCAATTGTACTTGTCCAAATCCAAACCTTAATTTGAGACATCGGTGTTGAGGAAGTGTCTTGAGCTTACCAAACCTTATGCAATTTTGAGCAATGGATATTTTGTGAGAGAATCTTTGAGAAATTGAGACGGCAAATTTTAGGATACAACAACAATAAAGGTAAAGGTGGCTACAATAATTCTACTGGTAGAGGAAACCAACATGAAGAAAACGTGTTAAATCAAAGAAAATAATACCAAGGAAACCAAAGAGGTGGTGCTAGAGGTAGAGGAAGAGGTGGTTGTCAAAAACTTGACAAAGAGTCACATTCAGTGTTTCAATTGTCATAAGTATGGTCACTATTCAAGTGATTTTCCAGAAAAGCGAAAGAATCAAGAAAGTGATGCAAAGTTTTCAAAGTAGAAAGAAGAGGAGATGTTGTTGATGGTTACAACAAAAGATGAAGAAAAATTCAATGATCAATGAAACTTGGATTCAGGATGCTCATCATATATGTTTGGAAGGAAAGATTAGTTTGCCAACCTAAAATCCTCAATGAAGAATATGGTAAAATTTACAAATGACAATACTCTAGAAGCTGTTGGAGATGTTTTGATTATGAGGAAAGATGGCAAGAGGTCAGTAATTTCCAATGTGTTGTACATACCAGGCATGAAGAGCAATTTGCTCAGCATAAGGCAGTTGGTCGAAAAGAACAATAAAGTGTTGATCAAAGACAAAATGATGAGAGTCGTCGACGCAAATGGAAGGTTAATCTTGAAGGCTCCCATATCTCAAAATAGAACCTTCAAGATCAAACTTAATATGATGGAGCACAAGTGTCTTTCAACTGCAGCTAGTATAGATGAATGAATATGGTATTATCGACTAGGTCATCTAAACTTCAGAGACATAAGAGATTTAAAGAGAAGAAATATGGTTTCAGGATGGCCAGAAATTGACATTTTAAGTAAGGTGTGTGAGGAATGTGTGCAGGAGAAGAAACACAAGAATAACTTTAGCAAGGATGTAGGAAGCAAGTCAAAGGATGTCCTCGAAGTCATATACTCTGATGTATGTGGATCAATCCAGGTGGATTCGTTTGGAGGTAATAAGTACTTTGTCACGTTCATAGATGATTTTAGTTGAAAACTGTGGACTTACCTGATCAAGAAGAAAAGTGAAGTGATCGTGGTATTTGCTAAGTTTAAGTCTTTGGTCGAAAGATAAAGTGATCGAAATCTCAAAGTTTTGAGAACTAATGATGGTGGAGTGTATGTGTCGAAAGACTTCGACATGTTATATGAAAAAGAAAGGGTTGTGCATGAGGTGGTGCCACCCTACACTCCACAGCAGAATGGAATTGCAAAAAGGAAGAATCGAACCATCATGAATATGGTGAGAAGTATGTTGAAAGTAAAAACTTTACATAAAGAGTTATGGGGTGAAGTTGTGTTGACTACAACATATATTTTGAATAGATGTCCTACAAAGAAGATAAAAGGAATTACTCCAGAAGAATGTTGGTGTGATACGAAACCTAGCTTGAGTCATTTGAAGTTATTTGGATCTATTGAACATATACATGTGCCATATTAGTTGAGAAGAAAATTTGATGACAAGTTGAGTCAAATGATTCTAGTTGGATATCATTTGACAGGAGGTTATAAGTTGTTCGACACAATGAACAAGCAAATTGTGATCAACGGGGACATGATCATAGATGAGCTTAAAGAATCTGATTGGATTGAAAATGCCAAGAAAGATTCAGTGAGAATCCTACTTGAAGAACCAAAAACTCAAGTCAAAAGAGAAGTTCGACAAGAGGAACCAGCAGTTATAGATCAACCATGTACAAGCAGACCTTAAAGAACAAGACGCATGCCTGCAAGGTTGCAAGAATATGTGATTACATAAGATAATGTGGTTGATAATGAATGTGAGCTGGTACATTATACTTTCTATGCAGATGTTGAACCAGTCAATGCAACTGAAGCATTGAAGGATCCGATGTGGGTGAAAGCAATGAACAGAGAAGTGAAGTCCATTGAAGACAATAATACTTGGTCACTTGTCGAATTTCCTCAAGGCAAGAAGGAAATTAATGTCAAGTGGGTATACAAAGTGAAAATGAATCCCAAAGGGGAAGTAACTCGACACAAAACAAGGATTGTGGCGAAAGGATTTCTACAGAAAGAAGGAATAGACTTGGATGAAGTTTTTGTGCCTGTTGTTAGAATCGAAACAATCAATTTGGTTGATGGTCTTGCAGAAATAAACAGTTGACACATATGTCAGATGGATGTGAAATATGATTTTCTGAATGGACCCTTAGACGAAGAAGTCTATGTTAAACAACTAGTTGGATTTATGAAACATGACAAAGAGAAAAGTTATACAGGCTGCATAAAGCCCTGTATGAATTGAAACAAGCTCCAAGAGTTTGGAATAAGAAGATTGATAGTTTTTTAAGGAAGAAGGAATTTATGAAGTGTACAACTGAACATGGAGTATATGTAAGAAGAAGCAATAGTAAATTGTTTATACTATGTCTCTATGTGGATGACTTGTTAATAGCAGGTAGCTACAAGAAGGGATCGAAGACTTCAAAGGTGATCTCAACAAGGAATTCGAAATGTCGGATCTGGATGACATTTCATATTTTTTAGGTATCGAATTCTACAAGAGTAGTAGAGGTTTGATGATGCATCAAAGAAGATAGGCAAGTGAAATTATCAAGAAATTTGAGATGCAAGAAGGAAACTCGACTTCGACACCTGCTGAATCAAGGTTGCAACTATCGAAAGATGCAGATGAAGACGATGTCGACCCAGCCCGATATAGAAGGCTTATTGGGTCATTAAGATACCTTTGTCATACAAGGCCTGACTTAGCATATAATATAGGTATGGTAAGTAGATTCATACAGAAGCCAAATGTATCACACCTAGCAGCGACGGAGAGGATACTGAGGTATCTTAAAGGAACTCTCGACTATGGCATTTTATTTTTTGCAGCTGATAAGGGAAAAGAATGCAAGTTAGTGGGATACACTGATTCAAGTTGGTGTAGTGATGCTGAAGATCAAAAATCTACATCAGGATATGTGTTTACGTTAGGTGGTAAGAAAGGAACCAATAGTGGAATTATCATCATGCGAAGCAGAATACAAGGCTGCTTCTCTTTGTGCACGTCAAGCAACTTGGATGGTGAATTTGGTCGAAGAGATAACATGAAAAGATCATGGAGCAATTACCATGAAGATCGACAACATGTCAACTATCAATCTGACGAAGAACTCGGTAGTTCATGGTCGAAGCAAGCACATTGAAATGAGGTTCCAATATCTTCGAGAGCAGGTAGACGATGGGAAGATGGACTTGGAACACTGCAGAATTGAGAATCAGATTGCATACATCATGACGAAGGGTGTGCAGGTCGAATTATTTCGAAGACTAAGAGCTATGATGAATATAGATAGTTTAGACACAATGAATTATGTGTTGAATTATGTCGAAACTATGTGTGTGTCGAAGGGTTAGAGGTTGTCGAAGCAGGTTGCTCGATGGAAACCATTGTCCAGTCGAAGAACTTGTGTATCGAAGCAGACTGCACACATATTTGATTTGTTTTAGATTTAAATAGATTTGATTTAGACCTAAAATAGAATAAATTTGATTTAGTTCCAAAAATAGTATTTTAGACTTTTATAGTTTTGTGCTTTAACTTAGAGAGCAAGTTAACCTAAATCTATAAATAGAGGGAGTAACTCCTATTTTTGTAATCAAGTCAATTAAATAATATTCACAGAATTTTCAGTTGTAAGTGAATAATAAAGTTTTTCACAATTTGTGGGCAGAGAGAAACTCTGTAGAAAAATACTTTTTTTCTTCATCTTTTATTTTTTATTATCATTGTGTGGTGATATCAATCTTGTTCATTAAAATTAGTAGAAATTCATCTTAGATTTTAGTGGATTTCCAACAAAGAGTACATGTACAAGAACTTTGCTTGTATTTATTTTTTATTTTTTTATTTACCTACATACTTAATACAAAAGGACTTCGAACATTATGTTTACCATTAGTCCATGTAATAGATCCAAACAGATCATTCTTCAACGAAGTTAAACTAGAGGAGAAAATAACTTGATAGGTTATTTGTTTGCTAGTTTTTGTAAATTGTAGTTTCTCCGGAATCAGTTGGACTTTCACCCCATTGGGAGCATCGACAATGGCGGAGTAGACTGTTTCATCATCTTCACCGACATTCGTAACAGTTCTACTCACATTCACGCTTTCTTTACCATTGAAGTTGGAGATTGCTATGGAAGGATAGTTCATATTGGAAATATGACCAGAAGTTGAATCCTTAGGACAACTGAAACTATCCGGCACAGTTCTAGAGATAACCTTGATTGTGGTTGTGTTAAATCCTATGTAACATAAGTAGTTCAAGTAGTCCAATGTATTAGTTTCATAAACTAGCCCTGGTTGAAATGGTTCTGTTGATGTTATTTCCCCGGCGCCATAATCAAAAGGTGTTGCAATTGATCCTAAGTCGGTCGTAATGGGCGCCTTCATATTGTTAATTTGAGTCGCTGCATTTAAAAATATACGAGTTTATAAGTTACTAGAAAAAACTGTCGTCGCATAGTAGGTAAACAGACAACAAACTGCGCTGCAATCAAAATGGAAATACTAACCAGAGGTCATGATAGCTGATTTGATAGCAGAGGCACTCCAAGTTGGGTTCCTAGATTTTATGCTGCCTGCAAGGCCTGAAACATGTGGGCATGACATGGAAGTTCCTGATTCAAGGTTATATAGCGAAGGCTTTTCCCCTTTTGGAACAATTTTTGTGTCATTTCCAATCCACGCGGCAAGAATGGTAACACCTGGTGCTGCAATATCAGGCTACAAAGAGAAAATTGTCGTCCTATCGTATTCAGAGGTGTACATTCATGACAGTTATTTATAATGGTATCTATATTTATATATATACACACCTTGATAATATTCTTTGAAAGTGCAGAAGGTCCTCTACTAGAAAAAACTGCTACCATAGGCGCGGGTTTATAATCCATGACGGTAATTGTTGGTAGAATTGTTGCCATTGGATTGCTTCAGATTAGTTATATGCAAAAAATACGATAAAATTAACTAGTTTCAAGTGTTACTATAGTCTCGATGAGATTCAAAATCGAACTCTAATACTAATTGTTTTAGTCATTATACATGATTAATACTAAGATATAAGAGTATTAGACATGCAGTGATCATAATTGTTTACCTTGTTGAATTGACATACTGGAGTAATGTGGAAGCATTGGTCGGTCTTACCACTGTTGCTGGAAAGTCTTTATAGTTATTTGCCACTGCTCCTTCTATGTCAGTAATATGAATAAGACCTAATCCACCAACTTCTTCCACTATCGTTATTTTGTCATAGGTTGTATAATCATCATTTATTCCATCACAAACAACAATCTTTCCTTTGACTTTATTTGCATCTAATGAACTTGGGTGACACTTCCTGCATTTTACTAATCATGTTATGTTTTTATACATTTAAATATTGCGCTGAATTTATTAAGGGAAAATTTTATAAATAATAAAATATTACGGTGAATTTAGTGAGAGAAAACTGTATAGATGATAACACATTGAGCTGAATTTAATGAGCGAAAGATAATAAATCATAAATGAATTAAAATTAATGGGACAATTTTTCTGTCAAATAAATCTGTCACAAAATTTGTTAATTCCAAATTCCCTCACCAATTTTTGTGAGGCCAAAATTTGTTACGAAATTTGGGTCATCGTAAACGGTTTTTGGTGGAATTTTAATACTTTTGTAACGAGTTTCTACATCTCTAAATTTAATCTTTTTTAGTAACAATAGCATATGACTGTTGATTTATTTTGCTTGTATACCTTGCTTCATCTAAGTCAGCAGTAGTCGTCTTGGCAGTCTCTCCAGTTATCAATGGATAATCAGATGATTTTGAAAGAGGGGAGAAATTTATAGCTTCACCCTAAAATATAACAAAAATGTTAAGGATTCAAAATTAAAATAAAAAAAAACATTGGAAAGTAAACGTTACTACCTCTAGTTTCTATTATAAAAAAACTCTACTTGAACATTTGGACTTTATATAACTCTAATATATTAATAACTCAACAACTCTTAAAAACTAAACTTTTTCTTATAATAAAGATCAGTTATACCTTAATAACTTGGGTATTACTCAAGAGAACATTGGACTGAAAGTCGCGATCAATGGTGGTGGCAGCAACCGTTAATATCCACGGAGCATCATTAACTACCGTATTTTGTTCGGGTCCGGAATTTCCAGCCGAGCAAACAACCAGAATGCCACGTTCCGCGGCGTGGAACGACCCAATTGCAATCACATCGGTTGTCAAGTCAGGTTGCATACTCGGAGACCTGCCAAGGGATAGCGAAAGCACATCAACTCCATCTGAAATGGCATCATCGAATGCGGCGAGGATGCCAGAGCCGGAGCATCCAACATTGCACACTTTATAAATCGCCAATCTCGATTCAGGAGACCCGCCTTTCGATGTCCCTGTCGCGAGACCGTAGTATGATGCACCAGTCACGGCATTCCCTGCAGCTGTGGAGGCCGTGTGAGTACCATGACCTAATGTATCTCTTGGAGTGTTTGCCCCAGCATCATCCTCATCAGGATTAGGATAATACCTTGCTCCTATTATCTTTCTAAGAAAATCAAAGGATAAAGAGCATGTTAGTTTCCACAAATTAAAAGCTCATTTTATAAAATTTTCAAACATTGCATAATATTTAAATTATTTTGAATATTTTTTATACTACTAATATAGAATAATGAAAAATTGCATAAATAAAATATTTTTAATGGGAAGTTTGTTGTATTTTTCTTTTGTTATTTTGGTTGGAATTAAGATTTGTTTTATTTACCTATTACAGTTTGATGAGTTGAAGTCACTTGATTTCATGCATGTACCATTCCATTTGGCTGGGATAGGATCCATTCCCTTATCAGAAAAACTTTCTGCTTCTGGCCATATACCTAAATAATTCATTTTTAATTAACTAATTATGAAACAAATCAGTTAATTACTAATTTAATTAAATCAACCTGAGTCTAACATGCCAATTACAACGTCTGATGAAGAAGACGGAGAAGAACTAGAGAGTCTCTTATCAATTATAATTTCAGTTTCCGCTTTAAGAAAATCCCAAGAACGTGTTGTATGAAGCTTCAGTATAGGATCCGGAAACACAGACACGACTCCCGGTTGTTGAGCAATCGAGTTTGCTTCATTTTTCGATAATCGAGCAGCGAAGCCGGAGAATCCATGTTTGTAATTGTGTATTAGAGCTTTACCATTCCTGAATAATTCACAATTTCACATCATCTATCAATAACTAATCACATTTCAAAATACTAGCTAATTGGTTATTATATATATACATATATATGTACTTACTTTCTTAATACAGTGTTCAAAACATGGACATGATCTTTGCGAAGAGTTCCATTAGTTGAACTTGCAGCTCCCATATAAACAATATAAACTTGATTATCATTCTTTGGTTGAGTTAATGATGATGTTGATTCTCCAAGAAAAAACAAGAGAGAGTAAAATATTAGCATTAGTAAAATTGGATTTTCTCTCATGTTTTTAGTGTTCTCTTGAATTAGTTGATGAGAAATATGCTTGTTGGTTCCCGGGAGCATACCTATATATAAGAAGCAATATGTCTAGTGTCTAGTTAAAGCTCATTATAAGTTGGTGCTTTATTGTGTCAACAATGAATTCATGATGTATAGTAAGATATATTATCTTCATTTTAAAATTTTTAAGTTACTTTGGAAAAAGCAATATATATTGTTAATTTTATAGTGCTTGGCTTCAAAAGTCAAATTTGGAGGATTGTTCAAAAAAAACTATAAACTGAATCAAACTGCCAAAATTTTGGAAGCAAAAATCAAAATCGAGTTTAATTAGGGGTGTGCAAAAAAACTGGTTTACATAAATCAATTTTAAAAATTCAGTGCACCAATTTTTATAATCCAATTTGTGTTGGATGTGAACCGCTCCAGATCCATTTAGATATCAAAATAAAAATCTGATTTTCATTTTTGATAACCAGTTGTCATACATAAAACCAAATGTATATGATATTATTATTAATGAATAAGATATTATTAAGGCCGGTAAATTCAAATTCGTGTAAACCAATTTATATAATATTCAAATTGAAAATGGAAAACTAATTTATATATTTTATTTTATGTATTATTAATTAGTTAATTAGAATGGTGATTAGTTAAGGGAAGAAGAACTTATTAAGTTAATTGTGATGAACGATTGTTAATCTGTATTTTTTTGTTTAACTGTTATAGTGTAGCAATTGTTTTGAAACAGATTTTGTCTTGGTTTTATGATGTTTTGTTTTAGTTTTTTTGGGTTCTAGTTTTAGTGTTCTGGTGCAACTTTATCATAGATTAAAGTGTAATGTTTTTACTCTTACATTGAATTTTACTTTTTTGCTTTTCAAAAAAATTATGAAAAACAATTTGTGTTGGTGTTTGAATATAATAGTATAAAAATGACACATGCCTTTGCATCTTGTTCCCTTCATTAACGTGAATTTTTTTCGTCTCTTCAAATTAAGAAATATACAATTTCCTTATAAATCAATTTTGATTGAAAACCAGTTTAAATCGATTTTGAACCGAATTGAAACCATTTTGCAATTTTAAATTGGTTATTATAAAAAATGGTTTAATTTTAAAACTAGAACCATTAAAATGGATTGGTTCTTAAAATTTGGTAACCATGCACACCCCTAAGTTTAATCTCCCAATGGCATGTTTTCAACTGATATGAAATGATTTTTTTATTAAAATAAATTTAAAAACAAATATAACGGTTCGATTCTTTAACAAATTATTCTATTTAGGAAAAAATATCATCTAATGATTCAGTACGGTTCGGTTCAGAATTCCGAACCGTTATACCAAACTAATAATTTTGGTTCAGTTCAGTTCTAAACAAATTAAAATGATTCGATTTAGTTCCGATAACCTTTTATTATGATGCAGTTCAATTTAGTTCAGTTTTCTTACCTAAGCATATTATGAACAGTCCTAAATCAAAACAATATTACAAAGAGTAATTTCTGTAATGCCATTTCACCTCGGCCAAAATATCCAGTGGTAGAATTATTCAATTAGGTATTTTTTCTTTTATTTTCATTTTTAAGTTATTTTTCACCATTGTTGAAACTTCCAATCGTGGTGAAAAGTGGCGTCTGATCATAAGTTTAAACTGATGTCAAGAATGATGTCTTAACAACACACAATGTCACAATAGATGTTATGACTTCTACTGACAGAACATCAAAATAATAACAACTATCCAGAAATGTAAATTGCAGAAGGTAATTGAACACGCAGAATTGTTAACCCAGTTTAGTGTTAACTCACCTACTCAGGGGACTACCAAACCAGGAAGGAAATTCTCTATCAGCAATATTAATTCTAAGCTAAACTCCCTCATTTACAACTTATCACGTAATCCCTACCTAGTGCAATTTCTACCTAAGAACTTCTTAGATATGAGAATCCACTCACTTTCACTCACTGTAGTGATAAAAACTCCCAGTCAGAGGGAAAAAAGTTTCAGTCTCAGGAACTGTACCGAAACCAAAATAGGAAGAATACACTTCTAAGTTACAACAACTTAGCCTTGCGTAAAAGCTTTGACCAAGAACGATACTCAACTATTGATTCTCAGCTTCGAGGAGAACAATAGCTTGATGAACAAGTAACAATCAGTCAACTCAAATATATCAAATATACATGAGGACGTACAAACAAAACATAAACTTCCTTGAAGAACACTCAAACCCCAAGAGTGAGACAATACAATTTCCCCTTATTTTCAGACTTCTTGATGATATTAGACCTAGGTAGTTACTTTAAATACTTCTCAGTAATTTTTGGGCCTTGCACCTGCGGCCAAATATACCTTAATGTCCATGTTGGGGGCTGCACAAATTTGTGCAGGAAAATCTCCATAAATCTTGGAACAAAACACAAAGTTTTCTAATTAGTCTCAATCAACCAATTGTAGCAACATGTGCATATCTGAAGATATTATTTGTTCTAGATTTATAATTCTTGACCCGCGATAAATCAGTGAGATATAAACAACTTAAATCTCACACAATCAATTAATGATCTGTCAAGAATAAACCAAACTACAGTACCACCTGCATTAGACCAAGATGTCATGACATTGTCTTCGACATCTGAATAAAGATCACATAACAGAAAACCTGTTATGGAAAACTATGTTTTAGCAAAAATTACGCCAATCCAAAAAATGTGATAGTAACAATCTCCTCCTTTGACAAATTTAACTAAAACACTCTTAGCATAAAAGATCCATGAGAGAGGAATAAAACCACAACAAAAAACAAATTGCATAAAAGTATACATATCATAGTACAACAACTACATATCATACATGTATGGAGCCCCCCTATCACATACAATAAGTTCTCCCTCTCAAGGAAAATCTAAATCAGAAGAGAAATTCGGAGCATCAAAATTCTTAACACACATAAACACAGGTAGGGGTGTGCATGGTTACCAAATTTTAAGAACCAATCCATTTTAATGGTTCTAGTTTTAAAATTAAACCATTTTTTATAATAACTAATTTAAAATTGCAAAATGGTTTCAATTCGATTTAAAACCGGTTTAAATCGGTTTTCAATCAAAATTGATTTATAAGGAAATTGTATCTTTCTTAATTTGAAGAGACGAAAAAAATGCAGGTTAATGAAGGGAATAAGATGCAAAGGCATGTGTCATTTTTATACTATTATATTCAAACACCAGCACAAATCGTTTTTCAAATTTTTTTTGAAAAGCATAAAAGTAAAATTCAATTTAAGAGTAAAAACATTACACTTTAATCTATGATAAAGTTGCACCAGAACACTAAAACTAAAATCCAAAAAAACTAAAACAAAACATCCTAAAACCAAGACAAAATCTGCTTCAAAACAATTGCTACACTATAACAGTTAAACAAAAAAGTACAGATTAACAATCATTCATCACAATTAACTTAATAAGTTCTTCTTCCCTTAACTAATCACCACTCTAATTAACTAATTAATAATAAATAAAATAAAAAATAAAAATTAGTTTTCCATTTTCAATTTGAATATTATATAAATTGGTTTACACGAATTTGAATTTACCGTGCCTTAATAATATCTTATTCATTAATAATATTATCATATACATTTGGTTTTATGTATGACAACTGGTTATCAAAAATGGAAACCAGATTTTTGTTTTGATATCAAAATGGATCTGGAGTGGTTCACATCCAACACAAATTGGATTATAAAAATTGGTGCACTGAATTTTTAAAATTGATTTGTGTAAACCAGTTTTTTTGCACACCCCATAGACACCGGATGTTGGAACATCTACGAAAACATTCTCATCCTGCACAAATAGCTACATCAGTAGCAGCAGCAGAAGCACAAATGCAGCAACACGAAACATCATGCTACCCCTAAATAGTTACAAGAAACAACCAAATAGTGTCAAGAAGCAACCATAATTAACACACACTTTACTCTCCCTTTTTAGCCAAAATCTTGACAAAAAGAACCAGAGTAAATACACACAAAGCATACAAACATATGTAAATAAAAACACATATTGCATACATTCAATGTAGCAAACATGGAATCACAAATGGAAACAAAAGCTAAACACGAATGGAAACAAACAATTTACAAGCATCAGATGGACATACACAAACTGAGAAGCATTGGAGGCACATGAATCTTGTCACCATAAATCTGAAACTTCTTTTTAAATTTGTAACAGTCAGATTTCATTGTCAGCCAATAGTAACTTGCCCTAAGCATCTTCTTTTCCATTGAATGTACATTGACATGGGTACTAAAGAAACCTTCATGGATCTCATGCATTAACATGTCCGCTTCGTGTCTATCCACGCGTCTAAGCAAGATAATGCCATAATTTTTCTCTTATAACACATCTTCATTGAGGAAAAAGCTACCTTCCAACCTTCTCAATGTTTTTCTATCTTTATTTGATGCACCGACCAGATATTCCTGAGTCTGAAGGAAATGTTTGATATCATAATACCAAGGATTTTCATCTGAGGTCCCCTCTATAGAAAACACATGAGCTGGTCTATCAAGACGTCGATTTGTGATCTGAGGTACATCATTCTAAGCATTCACTTGGTACATGGAAGCCAAAGTGGCTAAAGTATCTTCCATATGATTCTCATCTATAGGAATATGATGGAATTCAAATTTATTGAAGAAAGGTAATAATCTTCTTGCATAATCTTTGTAGGGAATCAAGCAAATGTGACGAGTCTCCCATACTTCTTTTATCTGATTTATTACCAAAGTTGAATCGCCATATACATCAAGAATTTTGATTCTGAGATCTATAGCCTCTTCAAGACTCATGATACAAGCTTTATATTCAAGCATCTTATTGGTACATTCAAATGCCAACCTTGCAGTAGAAGGGATATGTGACCCATGGGGAGTGATAATCACATCACCAATTCCTTTTCCATAAGCATTTACAACTCCATC